TTAAAGTAAGTTACTGTTAGTAATGATTTATCCAAAGTATCTATGCCAGTTACACTCAATGAACCGATTGGTGTGTTACAGGTTAGTTAGGTAAATATTTATCTAAACCTTTTTGACTCCCGTGTGCGAAGCACAAAAAGGGAGTCTTTGCAGTTAGTGTGTCTGTCTGTGTGTCTGTGTCTGTGTGTGTGTCTGTTCCACTGATATCTCAAGAACCATGCATTGATTTTTGATGAAACTTGGTGCATAGATGCTCTGGGCCAATGCACAGATTTAATTAGGTTTTGGTGAAAACCATGCATATTAATTACCTAATTTGCATGATAATTAGCTGATATTTAGCTGTTCCATGATTGTTCCACTGATATCTAAAGAACCACTCATTGGATTTTGATGAAACTTGGCACATAGATGCTCTGAACTAATGCGCAGATTTTATTAGTTTTCGGTAAAAATCTGTACTAATCATCACATTTCAATAACACTTGGTACATAGATATCATAGGACACTGCACAGACCTGATAGTTTTTAGTGTAATATCAGTACATATTAATTACCTAATTTGCATAATTAATTTTCTGCTTTTGATATTTCATGTAGTAATCATCGCATTTCAATAAAACTTGGTACATAGATGTCATAGGACACTGCACAGACCTGATAGTTTTTAGTGTAATATCAGTACATATTAATTATCTAATTTGCATAATTAATTAATTTCCAGCTTTTGATATTTCAAGTACTACTAGTAGTAATCATCACATTTCAAATAGATGTTATATGACAATGCACAGACCTGATACTTTTTAGGGTAATATCAGTACATATTAATTACCTAATTTGCATAATTAATTAATTTTCAGCTTTTGATATTTTAAGTAGTAATCATCACATTTCAATAAAACTTGGTACATAGATGTCATATGACAATGCACAGACCTGATAGTTTTTAGGGCAATATCAGTACATATTAATTACCTAATTTGCATAATTAAATAATTTTCAGCTTTTGATATTTCAAGTAGTAATTATCACATTTCAATGAAACTTGGTACATAGTTACTTAAGGACTGTGCAGAGACCTGATTAGTTTTGGGGTAAATATTTGTGCATACTAATCACCTTATTAGCATAATTAGTTAATTTTCAGCTTTTCGCACGATAACTCAAGTACTGATAATCATATTTCATTGAGACTTGCTACATAGATCCTCTAGGACTATGCAGAGACCTGATTAGTTTTAGGGTAAATAATTGTGGATATTAATTACCTAATTCGCATAATTAGTAAATTTTTTCCATGAATGTTCCACTGATATATAAAGAACTACTATTTGGATTTTAATGAAACTTTTATAGAGTATTCATCATCACATTTCAATGAACCTAGGACTATGCAGAGACCCAATTAGTTTTTGATAAATATTTATGCTTATTAATCACCTAATTAAAATAATTAATTAACACTGATATCTCAATTATTGATCATCACATTTGAATAAAATTTGGTACATAAATGCTCTAGAACAATAGACAGGCCAAATTAATTTTGGGTTGAAATTTGTTCATATTAATTCTCTAATAATGATTCATAGTTTTTTTGTTCTAATCACATTTCAATGAAACTTGGTACATGGATATTACATTACGCAGGCCTTATTAGTTTTACACTCAAATCTGTTCATATCAGTTACCTGATTTACATAATTGGTTTTCAGCTATTCCTTCAATATCTCAAGTACAAGTAATTTTTAATGTGTCTTCAATACTCTAAGCACACAGGAGTTCTTTCTAAGCTTTTTTTGATTTTTTCTTTATTTTCAGCGTTTATGTGAAGAACTTGAGTACAGCGAGTTGTTAGATAAAGCATCGCAAACTGATGACATTTATAGGCGTATGGTATTAGTGGCAGCATTTGCAGTGTCTGGTTATGCATCATCACAACATAGAGCCGGTCAAAAACCATTCAATCCAATGTTAGGAGAAACATATGAATGCATAAGAGATGATAAAGGATTTAAATTTGTCAGTGAACAGGTGAGTGTGTTATGTGTTCTCACATGATGAAGTAAATAATTACCGTACTCGACTGCGTTAACGCCCAGGGTCTTCAACTCAGAAAATCATGATTTTTTTTTGGGGGGGGGGGGCTTACCCAAGCACCTTCCTCGGAAAACAATTTTATTTCACCATATGACAGATTGAGGGGATATTACGTCTTTGAGGCAAAATTAAATTACAAAATTAGTTGTGTCGTCATTGACTTTTACAATGAAGAAACAGAAATTGGCACAAAAAATATGCACATTTTATTACAATATTAATTACGTACCGCCCGAATTTACGAGATTAAAAATATTAGTCTGTTGGAACACAATCAAAGTCAAAATCTCTGTCATTATCTCTATTGACGAATGTGTTGGATCGTACGCAAACTCTCAATGAAAAGCACTTCCCGCCATGATGTATTTGCATGGTTTGACGATTACCAATATTGGTTAAGCAATGATCAAAGACCAAGTTTTAAATTAGTGGCATTTTGAAGGGGAGAGTGTTTTGCCGAATGTGACCCTGAATATAAAAATTGTGCAATAGTGGGGGTGGACGCTGACGTGGTCGAGTACGGTACATGGCTGAGTTTTTAAGTATAATTCAGTAATATTCATTCATTTACAGGTATCCCACCATCCACCAATTTCTGCATGTCATTGTGAAAGTGATAGTTTTACTTTTTGGCAAGATATTAGAATTAAAACCAAATTTTGGGGGAAGTCAATGGAATTTCTACCGATTGGTACAGTTAATGTCATTATACCCAGGTGAGTGTGAATGTAAATCTCCACTTTCTGGTTCATGGTTGCACCATCTACATATTATGAAAATAGTGTAGTTGCTGATTAGTCAAACCTGAGCATAATTTACATACCGTATTTATCTGGGTAAGCGCCCAGGATCATGAACATGGAAAATTGACAAAAAATTGGGGTTGTCCTATGCCTGGACATCCCCAGCAAAAAAAAACAACAAAAATTGACAACACGCAGATTGAACTGCAGCAGGGAATAGAATAGCAAATGAAAACATGCATTGGAAATAAATGAACAATATACAACATTAGAAGTACATGTATAACAAAAATAATATATTGCTTATAATATGACAAATAACCAGAAAAAAAAAAAATAGGCAGTGAGGAATCATTTGAATTAGGAATTCCCCGCTGACAAACACGCCCAGTACGCATGAACTCAAAATTAACTAAAATGTCAGGGGTTAAACTGCGTAAAATTATTTCTGGTTTTGACAAATACCGCATCAACAGTCATACAAGATCAATAATAATTTACAAATTTACACAGTAAAAATTATGCAAGTTCATAGTTGTTTGAAAAAAACTTCTCAGATTTATATTTGTACGCCATCTTCGTCAAAGTCAAAACCCTCAAAGTTCAAGTCTGCGTTGCTGTCGCCATCGCACAAAATTCCTATGTCCTGAAGTTTGTCGATGTCATTGCTCCCAATTTAAACACTTTTAATCCACTGATTTTGCTGTCTGTCAGCTTGGCTTTGTTAATTCATGTCTACTCACAATAAAAAGATAAGAAAAATTGGGTCGCAGCAAACGACTCTACTACAATGGCACACAATATTTTTGGTTAGTCTGTCAATCATCTTTGACCTTTAAGCATCTGCTTTACTGATTGGCTTAGTGTTTCATCATAGAGGTCAAGTCAACATTGCTTTCTTATCAGACTAGGTGCTCATCAATCGTGGTGAAAGTTATCATTCATTAACAAGTTCCGACTGTTGGAATGTCTCACTATATTGATATAGAGGTGGGCATGAAATAGGAAGAATTTTTTTTCCCCAACGACAAAAGAATAATTTTCATGACAGAAATGCAATACTGTTATCAAAGAGGGTAAAAAGTTGACAGTTTTCGGCGTGACATTGCAAAATTGCTGGTCCCAGTTATGGATTCACGAGCTGCTACCAAATTTGTTATAAAGCCAAAACAACGTGATTTCAACCACGCTCCCCGGGTTCGAGTTGCTACAATATTGCAACATTATATTGGTTTCATTGTTGATGACGCTAAAGCCAAACAAGTGAGACACTTGCTTCGCTGCTCTCCATATACTGTAAGATTTGCTTGAATCGTTTCTAAGGAAACACAAACCAAACAGCCCTTTTCAGGGCCATGACATATTTCAAAATGAGAACTACCATTTCTGCTTTGAAATACATTTTTGTAGACTTGCTAAATGTTATGACTTCTTGCAGTCTGTTGTGATTCTGATAAAAAGTCTTGAAAAATAAATGTCTATTGCGTAAAATGAGGGGTGAATGCAAATTAGCTGGTAATAGGAAATTTTGAGATCTGCCTTCAGGGCAGTGCGTTCACCGCTGTTCACGTAATTCACATTTATTTGTTATCAAACTTATAACAGACTGCAAGGAAGTCAACTGTTCATACAACAAACAAGTTATTTTTTTAATTATAAGTGTAGAAAAAGACCCCCTGGGCATATGTCTGGACATGATCTCAATTTCTTCATTTATCAAAATTGGGGGTAGGCGTTTGCCCTGGGCATGGGCTTTTACCAAGATAAATATAGTAATATGCAAATGGCGTAGTTCCCGATTGGGTAAACCTGTATAAATTATCTGCATATTATGCAAATAGTGTAATTCCTAATTAGTTAAATATTTCGAATAGTAGGGCTCTGGTTCAATCTATTTTTTATCATCACTCAACTATTCTGCTGTGTTGCTTCTATTTTGTTCCATTTTTTAATTTCAGAAAAATAAAAAAAACATCCAATCATGACGAATGCAGATACCCCAATAAAAATAATATTGTTGCTCATTACATATGAACATATTTGTTTTCAGGTATAATGATCATTACCGATGGAATAAAGTTACTACATGTGTTCACAATATATTGAGTGGACAACGTTGGGTTGATCAATTTGGTGAAATGATTATACACAATGGTCCAATTACATGTAAATTAACATTTGCAAAGGTAGGTATTGAGGTTATCATCTGATATTACTTGTTTGTACAGCTGCATGGTTGATACAAGTATTATCATGGGCTAATATTATTCATGAACTTGTCATGATCAGGTTGACGATTTTAAAAAATTACACAAACAAATTACAAAATTAAAATTATACAGAAATCACAATTGTTCATGTGGAATTGCTTGTTTGCTGATGTCAGATAAGTACAGTACAGATGTTGCAAAAGTTTTGGCCTTTTTTTGCTCCAGCATTGCTTTATGTTTGGGAAAATGAAAAGCAGCTTTGCTAAAATGTTGTATTGCATTTGCCCCACATCACCTTAAAATAAGCTTTGACATGTTTCTCCAAGTACAAGTAAATTATTTAAAACTGAAATGAATTATATATTATAAACAACAAAACTAGTACAGTATTTAATTCACCAAACATCTTGGCATTCATTGACCAAGCTGATTGAAATCGACTGGAGTGTTCCTAGTTTATTCCCGACCATACAAGCCTCATTGTATTGCTCATGTTCACATTGATTCATATCTATATCTTTTCAAAATTAGGATGATAAAAAGGAAGTCCCATTATAAAATTCCAACTTCTCCTTTTTTTAGCTGTTTTAATTATATACACACAATATAACCTCTTGACCTTGTCGAAATGTATTTTCAGCAATATTCTGACGTAGATTTTTACCTAATGTGGAACAGAATATTAAATTTTCAGCACAATGACTTGAATGCAAAAGTAAAAAATATAACTATGTCTTGCTTGCAAAGTAAATTGATGCCTGGGTTTCCGAATTGTACTGTTGATGTACTGGTATACACTTTAGCGGAGAGTGTAGAGTGAAATAAAAAATCCAACACAACAACCCTGTATGTTATTTGTGTACGTGAGTTATGACAGTATGTACATGTACAGTTCAAATTGATCTGTATTATTTTTGATGTTTTAAAGTTTTGCAATGTCATATCCAATCAGCTGAGTTTCAGCAAATGCTGTAACAACAAGTATTTTATGCATATCAATGTATACTTGCACTTTCAAAACAGTCGGACACATGGTGACAGTTTTCTTTTCAAGTGAAATTTATTCGATCAGGTTTATGCTGAATATGTTAAATAAAGATAATTTTGTAATTGCCAGTAGTGAAGTTGAACTGTAAAAATTAAAGCGAAGAGCCAAGTTGCCAAAATTATATTAATGCTGACCACTTATCTTGTACTTTACTGAGGTCTACATCATAAGGGACGACGTCAAAAGATCGATGTCGGATAAATAACTTAATTCCTTTAGTTTTTTTCCAAACCCCCCTACCCCCCACTGCAACTTAATTGATAAATATTGGTCATGGCGTCAGACTGCATTCACCATTAAATACAAATTGATAAGCAGTTGGTTGTCGGGTGGGTGTAAAAGGATTTTACAAATGCACCTCATTTGACGCACAGATTTACACTCGAACCAAACCATTTTTCTGTTTGTTTTATTTCCCTTTTCGGTTATTTCTGTCCATGATTGAATAGAAAATAAAACGAACTACAAATACTCCAAGATTTTTTTGACTTTATTAAAAAATAAAATCGTTTTTGTAGCATGGAAACTTTTTGAGGTCTATTTTTTTATCAGACATTGATCTTTTGACGTCGTCCCTAACACTGTTACCTTTTACAAAGTTTATGTCTTCTGTCTAATTTTTCTGATCACTATGCCCCAAACAATGTCGTAGTAAAACTTAAAGGAAGTGAATACAATCATCCAAATTACGTAACAAGGGGATCACTGTTTAAGTTATGTCCTCAAACGATACCATGTAGAGCAGTATATCAAACAGTACAGAATCAAATTTATAATGCTGAATAAAACACTTCAAACATCACCATTAAAACACCATTTCGATCACAAAACATTCAGCAATGATGATGTAGTGAAGCTGACCCAACACTGAAGCGACATTGTAGCAAGGCCAGATGTTCACGCGAACCTGATGCGAAGCTGAAGTAAAATAAGCCAAAGCCTATGCAACAGCTGTACTGTAGAGGTCCTACCGCAATCTGTGATAAGATGAAGCCCATGTCTAGTAAGCATGTGAACACATAAAAACAGTTTCAAGGCCCCAGCATTTGTGTCGTAATGACTTACATTTTCACTGGTGCTACAGGATATTCTACTTTTATTAGCTCCGCAGACGACTTTGTTGAGCAGAGCTTATCATATGATTGTTTGTTCGTCAGTGAAAACTACAATTCTTATTGCTTTGTTATTTGGTGTATATGTACCTTGGGCAGACTTCTCTTAGATTTATTCATTTCATTTGATATCTCTAATTCTCAAATGTTTAGTCCCGTCTTCCGTGTGTCTGTGTGTGCATACGTCCAGACCTGTATCTTAGAAATGCCTGGACCAATCACAATCAAACTTCACTCATACATGACATTATACATATGCACATCAATTTGTTTCACGAGTGATTCAAGATGGCCGAATGGCGGCCATTTTTGTGCTAAAAAAATCAAGCATTTCTCGGCTGTTTACAGATGGATTTTGTTCAAACTCAGGTATATACATTAGACATTATAGGACCTTGATGCACATCATTTTGTTTTTCAGATAAGATTCAAAATGGCCAACTGGCGGCCATTTTGTTTGAATGAATGTGGTTCTAGTGCCATATCTCTGACTTGCTTTGACTGATTATGTTCAAATTTTAAATATTCATTATATATCATGTCATAGATATACAGATCTATTGGTTTGACGATCCTATTAAAAATGGCCGAATGGTGGCCATTTTTGTGCTAAAAAATCCTCAAATATAAAGCATTTCTGGCATTTATGAATAGATTTTTTTCAAACTTGGTACATACATTTGACATTACGGGTTCCTGATGCACACCATTATATTTTTCAGATCGAATTCAGAATGGCTGACTAGCGGCCATTTTATTTTAATGAATGGGCTTCTAGATCTATATCTATGACATGCTTTGACTGATTATGTTCAAATTTTATATATTCATTATTCAAAATGGCTGACTTTGTTGCATTTTAATCCAACATAATGGAACTGTATTAAAAATTAATTCAACTATATTAAAAGTTAATCCAGTGCGAATACATGTCTGTATAATTGTGTGTGACTGTCCATATATGGGTTTTTGATGCATAGATGCTCTTGGCTCATGTGCAGATTTGATTACGTTTTGGTTGAAACCATGCGTATTAGTTACCTAATTTGCATGATAATTATCTGTTTCAGGACTGTTATCTAAAGAGATTCTTTTTGGATTAGCTGAAACTTGGTACATAGATGCCATTGGACAATGTACACACCTAATAAGTTTTGGGTTATATCCATGCATATTAATTACCTCATTTGCATAATAAAAATTGTTGGCATTTCCACTGATGCTTCAAGTACAATACATAGAAAATACATAGACCTGTTTAGTTATGGTTAAATCTGTGCATATTAATTACATAAGTTTGTTTTTCTTTTGATATCTCTGGTTCTAATCACATTTCAAAGAAAATTGGTACATTGATGGTCTGTGACATTGTGCTGACCTGATTAGTTTTACATTTAAATCTGTTGATATTAATTACCTGATTTGCATAATAATTCAGTTTTCAGCTTTTCTCAAGTACTTCTTAATTCAATGAATCTTGATACATAATTATTCCAAGTCAATGCTATGATCTAATTAGTAGTGGGTTTATATACCTCCGGAATAATTTGATATATTTTCATGAGTTAATCATCACATTATAATGAAACTTGCCATTGAAATATACAGAGGGTGTGATTAGCTGGTGTACAACGTTTTGTGATCGCTCCTGATAAAACTTGCTGAATTTTAGTTATTTGACTATGCAAGCAACAACGAGATGTCTTACTAACTTTAAGTGAGTTTCCTTTGTGTTCATCTTGTTTATAAATGATTATGGCTGGACAAGAAAAAACGCCCGAGGCCAAATTCTACTGACTCGGACATGACGGAAGAAGCCACTAACAATGAGGATGATGTCAAAGCAATGTTGAAGTAGTTGCGTGACGGTCAGAGTGCAATTCAACGAATGATCGACAGTAAGATAGATCGCTTGAGAACAGATTTAACTAAAACCATAGCAAGTAAAATGAAGAAGCTTTCTGATTCATTTGCACTGGAAATTGGTCGTTTAGACGCAAAGTTATTAGACATGGAAAGCCAGGTACAACAGGTGGCTTGTGGGATGTTAGATGTCGACCCTTTGGATAACCCCGACATTACATTAATTGTGTCTGGTCTTAAGCAAAATGTTGGCGATGACGTTGCAGATAACAGTTATTAAAGCAGTCCGATTACAATCTCGACAACCAGGTGTCGGGTTAATAAAATTTGCATGCAAGGATCTAGAACAAAAGAAGGAGCAAAACATCGTTTGAAAGACAGTGCAAATTTTCAGCAGGTGTTTCTTCAGTCTAGTAAAGCACATACGGATAGGTTACTGAAGCTTAATGCTCGTACCCAACTTAACGAATTGCCAAATGGTAGCGATTTTCGCATCACCGGTAGTGGTAGAATTGTGCGTAAGACCTACAACCAGCGTGGAAATCTGAGAGAAGAGAACCAAGGTCGCCTGGAGACTATGCACGGTAATACAGAATAGGATTCAACTCAGCTCAGTGGACTGAAAATTGCACATATTAACGTTTGTGACTGGACACAATGGAACTGTAATCTCTGTGAAAGAATACTAAGAGGTTTAAATGCCAATATCATTAGTATTAACGAATCCCATTTACCTCGCGATGACGTAATTAGTAATGATAATTACAATTGGATTGGACACAATAGAAATCTAGTTCATGCTGACACAAACCGGACATTTGGCGGGGTTGATCTATTTGTTAAGTGCTCACAATATAATGAGTATCTGATATCAATAATTGACAAGGGCCACAAAGACATACTCGGAGTTCGGTTTGAGAATAAATTTACTGGGTTCACTTTCCTAGTTTGTTATTCGCCACCTGAAAATTCGCCTTGGGGAAGAAATGCAATTGCATTCTTTAGTCACTTATTCAGTCAGCTTTATATGACAGATGATGTCGATACAATTATTATATGTGGTGATCTCAATGCTCGTTTGGGAAATTCGAATGATAATATTGATGTAATGGATAACATTAGGAATTGACATGTGATTGATACTAAAATTAATCAACATGTCACAGTTTTTGTGAGTTCATGCAGGAATCTAAGCTATGTATTTTAAATGATCGTTTTGATAGACACCAAAATAATTTTACTTTTATTTCTAGTAGGGGGAGATCAGTAGTTGATTACGTGTGCGTTCCCCAAGACCATTTAAGTTATTGTAATAATTTTAATGTTATAACTATGTCGTCTATGGTTGAGAAATACAATTTATATGATGCACACACTGATAGAAGTAAACTCCCTGACCACTCACTTTAAATTTTTGATTTTCTTGATATAGACCACTGGGTTCAATAATAGAACAAAGTTTGTCAAATGATATTAATATCGGTGGAACCGGCACAGTGCGACTGTTAGAAAGTATTGTCTCAACCAGACTTCTATTAATTTCCTAGAATCAGAAGTAGCTAGGGAAGCCATATTACATTTAACTTCTAAGATTGAAATTTGTAGGGAAATGCAACAAGAAATTGATGAGATTTATGATGATTTATGTAAATGTATATTAAATGAAATGAATTCGACCATTCCAAATTATAACTGCTCCAGTGGGGCAAGGAAAAGATTCCATCATCATAAGCCTATTGGAACGACTAGCTATATAGTATGTGGCGTGATATGAGAGAACGAGAATGCTCTTACACTCGATTTGTTGGTTCTAAGAATATTAGAACGCTATTACGTAATGATTTCAAAGCAGCAGACGGGCATTTGATAAAAAACTTT